CAGCCACAGTAGCTGTTCCCAGGCTCTAGGGGGCTCCCACAGACAGGCCCCTGCACCAGGGATGGCTCTGCCCTGCCTGCACTGTGCCCAGTGTGCAGGGAGGCCGATCCCAGAGAGGAAAGTCCCCAAAGCCTGACATCTTGCCCAGGCCAGCAAACATCCCCACATGCACAGGGTGGCTGCGGCCCATCCCTAAGGAACTGTGCAGGCCAGGCCAGGCCCCACCACTGGTGCTGCTGGGCTTACCTGCCTGCCTGCCTGCCCACCACAGCTCGAGCCTGCAGAGCCCCAGGGTCGCCCCAACTTCCCGCCCAGCCCTCACCTTCCTAAGGGCCCAACTGGGCTGGCTTGCCTCTGGCACCTCCCCCCACGCCGCCCAGACCCTGCCCCAACCACCCAGCCCCAGCACTTGGCACCTCAGTGCTACCCCAGGTGGGACAGGGCGTCTGCCTACCTGGGCAGCTCCCTCCAGGGGCCAGCCGGGCTGGAAGGCACAACCTGGGAGCACAGGGAGGGGGCAGTAGAGCACAGACAGCCTCCCTGCCTGCATTCTTCTGGCTTTGCCCCGGTACCTGCCGCGGTGCTGGGACTTGTGGCTGCACAGGAGAGCCGGCGCAACAACTTAAAAAAAACCCAATTTCTTTGTGTGCTTCCCGGCATGCCAGCAAAAATGGTTCCGCGTGCCACTAATGGCACGCGTGCCAGGGGTTGCCAACTCCTGCACTAGAGTAAGGTTGCAGCTACATTAAAAGCACTTTTCTGATCTAGGAATCCTAGTAGCATGCTCCTAGAATGGATACAACTTATACGAGTAAAACTGCGTTTTAGACTATATAGCTCCTGACAAAGTATGCTATTGCCTACAAAAATTTGGGCCATTCAACCAGTTAGTCTCTAAGGTAGCACCCCGCCTTGCCTTCTCCCTGACTTGAGAATAACTTGGCTAAATACCTCTTTCCTAATACATGTCTTATCCTAGCCTGCCACCTTTATACCTCTCTAATCAATGTAACTCTGCCAGGACAGTTAAGACGCCATGGGCTTCTTATATTCAAGTGCTATTTCAGTCTAATAGTTATCCAGTATTTTTACGAAAAAATAAAATTCATGTGGAACTCTTTATGATCACATGGCACTGCATGTGAACTGAATTTATTTCTAAAAGATGCTGAAATTATGTATCAACTCAAAAAGTGTTCTTGACATTTTGTCTAATAGACTGACCTTTTTGCTTCTCCCAGTGTTCTTTAACTCCCCATTGTGCTTATTCTGTTTTGCATTAAAAACTTCACGAGAGCCACATCTGGCATCACATACTGATATTTCATTTTCAACACCTAAAAAAAAACAACCCAGTGAATTAGATGTTTAGAATAGTGACAGGAAAATGGTGTATACTTGTAAAAGGGAACTGTCATCAAAAATCTTTTAAGGCTTTGAACCATTTTTTACCCAAATTTTGTTACCGAGTATTAAAAGGTTTTAAAAATATAATCTGTAGGCTAATGTTTGTATTACTTTTACATTTTAAACTATGACAATAAAATTACACTAGTGTCTCTAGTTTAATCTCTCGTTTCTGATGACTTCAAACATGGTAAAACAATCTATTCTATTCGATTTCCATGCAATGGCTTCACATAGAAGAAATTGAAAAAACAGAGGAAAAACCCACATTTGTATTTAGAGTATGGTCCTAGAATGTACTTAGTACTTCATTCCAAAGAGGCTACAAGTCTTGGGTTTGTTTTCAAATCAGACCTTTGAATATATCTGACACTTCGGCTAAGAACTAACTTAATATATGCAGACAAAATAACTTTCTTTTCTAAAAATGGCCCCTCCAGAAGTGAGAAAATTGCTTGGCTGACTACCAGGAAGAAGTATACTAAAGCCATATCTGTTATGTGAATTAATAATTCTCAATCTCTAATACTATCAATAATACTTTGAAAGTTATAGATTCATTTGAAAAATTAATTTGCTTAAATTAAAAGTATTTTTAATCTATTTTTAAAATAGATGCAATTACTGAAGATTTAATTAGGTCATTTTTCGCAAAATTAAGTTTAATTAAAGTCCACTTTGGGATACTCATTTCTTTTAAAAATAAAGAAAAAACAGAGTTCCGTGATTATTGACCCAATGGCCTAAATTATCCTTACTAAAGTTTAGTGATTGGCCTAAAATGTAATTTCTCCCAAATAAAGTTGTTTTAATTAGTGTTAAAGGGCCAAGTACTGGTACCATATCTGTATTTACAAATGTAGCTGCATTTAATTTGATGTGAATTTAAAAACAGAAGTTGCATTCTATTTAGTAATATATTCCAAATTCTCCATCAACTACCAAAGTATTTGTAAACTTTTTTACATTACTCATCAAGATATGGCTTGTAATATAAGGACCAAAGGAAAAAAATTGCCACTTTGATTAGGTTTGGGTTTTTTTTTTCATTTTTACTCTAGGGAAAGTATGGGTACCTAGATAGCTGTCCATGAGATGAGGTGTGACCTTCCAGTGTACCAAATACTCTACAAGAGTGATTGACAACATTCCAGCACGGGACTGGAATGGCAGCTCAGGTCTGAGATGGGCAGGCATTAGAAATTTGCTGCTGCTGTCACTTCTGTCCACTGCCCTTACGTGGTCTGGCACAGCATGGTAGAAGTCTTGCTCCACTAAAGCCCTGGGTGCCCAATTGCACTGGAGCACAGGTCAGGTAGAGCCCCCTACCCCTGAACACTGTGGTAGTCTGGATTCAAAAGCTCAGCAGGCTAGATGTAGCTCACAGGTTACCAGCCCCTGCTGTATAGTGACTGCAAGATTAGGGACAGAAATTATACCAGTTTGTGTGTAAGCGATTGGAAACTGGTTCAAATCTGTAACACAACAGAAGCTCAGTGCACATAAACCACTTTCAAAATGGCTGAAACCGGTTTAAGGTAAACCTGGATGGATGTAGTATCAGATTTAACTGATTTAGGTTAAATTGGTTTAGAGAACTTCTGTCCCAGATTCCCTCCAGATTCAAGTTAACTCAGTCCCCCAGCATCCCAGGATGCTTTGCACCTCCTCCGCAAACTCCCCTTTGCAGAGTGGGTGGTCTAGCTTTGGCCCACACTGTCTGCTCTAGCTGAGTATGGAGGCATGCTCTAGTGCCCCTCAGCTTCGGGCCTGGACCGCTATAGGCATGAGGCTGCATTTCCAGAATCAAAAGTGAATGTTTGTTCACTCATTTATTGGTTCAATCTACGCAGTTTAGAATAACTTGCAAAAATTAAATTGAATTAGCCTCGGGCTTTTTGACTGTCTGTACTTAGCCCAAATATGTATGCTATTAACCTGTGGTAAACAAGGTAGCTTACTCCACAACAGAAAGATAAATTACCTTCCATTTACTACTGGATAAACGCATGCAGGCAATGTCCACATAACATAACTGCATGGTAACTTATTCATGTAGTCATACGCAATCTTTTCACTTTGGACAATTTATAATAAAAATGCACACAATTTACTATTGTTTACTGTCATTATCCCATTCTTGTTTTCATGCTGTAAAAGCAAACAGATTAGGTTGCAGGAATTTTACATAAATAAAAATTCTGCTGAATTCAGTTAAGCATCCAGCAAAGGCTGGTTTTTAAGTAAGACCCTATTGAAGAAATAGCTAAAATTGGGGTTTAAATTAACTGCATAGTACTTATTACTTAGTTTTGACATTGATTTTAATAGTTGGTATTGCAGGAGTAGACCCCAGCCTCTGACCAGGATCTCTTGTTCTAGGAACTTCACAAACAAAAACAAGTCTGACTCAGGAGGATTCATATGATAAAAATACATTATTGCTATTTTATAAAAAATTGAGTTAAATCTCTCCCCCAGCCCTCAGACTTTTCTCTTCTTTCCCCTCCCTTTTTACAGGCAACCTTTTGTGTGTCAGTTATAATTTTTGGGGGGTAATTTTTCATGTATAGAACCTAATTACATGAGGCACATCATAAATTTGTTCCCCCTACCATTACAGTGGGGGGCCAGTGGGAAGGCATCAGCAGGGGACCAGGTACTTGGGAGGCAGGCAGCCAGGCTGTTATCCTTGCTCACCCCAGTGCTGATACCCTCCCCAGCACCTGCCCCCCCTGCTGGCCATGCCCTCTGCCATTTGCATTCCAGCCACTCTCCCCTCCACCCCCTTATGCTAAGCAGTGGCTCTGGCTCTAGCCCAGGTACAGAGCACATGGTGACTCCAGCCCCACCCTGGTGCTGGCCAGGCAGCAATGTAGGCAGCAGCTCCAGCTCCAGCCCCAGCCCCAGCCCCAGACAGGTAGCAGTAGCAGCTCCAACCCAGGGCAGGCACTGGCTGCAGCTACAACTCTGCCCCAGGTCAGGGCCAGAGCCACTGCGGTACTTGAATTTAAGATAAAACAATCCCTCCCCACCCCTATCTTGAATGTGGAAAAAACCTCTCATCTTGGATTTAAGTAAGGTATTTGAAGGCTCAATGTCTGTAGTGTCCCTTTGTGAACCTGCCAGGTACAACAGTCTTTCTGCCACCTCTGCACCTTTTTTCTGTCCAGACAGGTTGGGCTTTAACCTTCTTCAGAGTTCTTGCCTAAATTAAAAATCTAGAGGCTGTGCCCTCAATTTATGGACTCCCCAAGTTTTTAACTTTGTTTTTCATTGCTATCACTTCCTATACTGTACAAGAAAGGGGGTGAGGGGAAAAAAGAACCCAGACCTGCCCTCTCTAGAGATCCGCTATGAAGCAACTAAGGATTGAACCTTATAACTTCCAGCAGGTTATCTTCCATATACATATCACTCACCTAACTACTTTTTCCATCCTGTAACTCTCTGAATGGTAACCTGTAATCTTGCAATTTCCATCCTCTCTCCTTGCTGCATCTGGCTACTTAGGCTGCCTTTTTATCAGCTGTTTCTAACAACAGGCTTTTTAGTCACAAGCTGAGAAATTTAGTTTTGACATTGATTTTAATATTACAACCTTCCCCCTTCCATTTACCCTTTCTGGATAGTCATTATGTGGGGGTCCATATCCTACCACCGTAACCTGCTCGAAGTGCCTAACTAACCTCACACTTAAAAATATTTTCCTAAGATTAACATAAATTTCCCTTCCTGAAAATTAATCGTCACTCCTTGCCTTATTCTCCGTGAACAAAGAACAATTGAGCACTGTCTTCTTTCAAAACTTGGTGTCTGAAAACTTGAAATTCCCTCATCTACCTTTTCTAAACAAACACAGATCTTTCAAGCTTTCCACGTAAGTTATAGTTTCTAAACTTAATCAGTCTTGTTTTTCTTGCCTGTAATGATCAGATTATTAGTATCTTTCTTAAAGTGAGGTGCCCCAAACTGGACATAACTGTGGCCACACTACTGTCAAACAGAGTGGAATCATTAAGATGATCATATCTGACATATGACACTTGTTAATAAATCCCAGAATGATTCATTTCTTGCAACATCACCACATTGTTGACTCATTCATTTTGTGGTTCATTCTAAATCCCATATCCCTTTCTGCAGAACTGCTGCCTGGCCAGTTAACTCTCCATTTTGTATTTTTACTATGGTGAACAAATACAAATAAAATCATTTTGTACTTGCCTGTACTAAATTTTATCTTACTGATCTGAAAACATTTCCAAATATATCCAGTGCTGCTGGCTGTTTATTACCTTATTGTCCCCTAGGTGCTTTCAAACTGAAGGTTTAATGCATTTGATTCATTATATTTTAGGATACTGAAATTCAGTTGACTGGTCTGAAATTTTTCCAATCTACCCTCTCTTTCTGTTTAAAGATGGACATTGTGTTTGCTTTTCTTCAGTCACTGATACCTCCTGCCTCTTCTATGGACTTTTCAAAGATAATTGCTAATGCTTCAGAGATTGCTACAACTATTCCTTAACTTTTCTAGGATAAAATTTCATCAGGCCTTGCCAATATTTGAATATTTGCTCACTTTATTATACTGCCACTGCAGAAGTCAATGACAACACTCCGATTAACTGCAGAAGGACCACATTTCATTTCCAGAGTTCTCAAGCAGGAGTAAACTTGTCGATGGTCACAGATAAGAGATGGCAGCCTGTAAAGATTCTGTGCTCCTAACGCTTCAGCCTTGTGTTCCCCAAGACCATAGCTGATCTTAGTTTACAACTGTTGCCAAGAGAACTCTGCGCTCCCACATTTATTATAAGCAGCTTAAAAAGACATAATGGTCATTCAATCAAATCCCATTTTCAAATCAAATCAATTGAAGACATGAATGACAAATCCATGTCTTCAATGGTCATTGATTGAATGACCATTGAAGACATAATGGTCATTCAATCAAATCAAAGACTGTGTGTGAAGTTCACATTCACACTTCTGAACAGCTACAGAAGGATGTTAAATCTTTCTTAGAATCTATTAATGTTGCATTCCTTGCTTACCGTATCATTTATTTCTCTGGTTCTCAGATGAGCTGTAGAAATTAAGTAAAACTGGACAAACTTACTTCACTGCCAAAAATAGTTACAAGTAGATGGGAGGAACTTTGGAGCAATTCAATTTATAATTAAGTTTGAATACCTAAGAAAAATATCAAGCTTTCCTCAGATCATAAGCTATTATTATTCACTGAAAATAGTATATATTGCTGCATGTTTATGAACTCTTCTAGTAAATTAATTCTTTTCCTAATTAATGCACGTCTAAACCTTGTCACTGAAAAGTCACATTTATTGTACATTTATTGATTAATGTAGCACTGCAACATATGGAAACATAGCTTTTTTGTAGTTATCTGGAACATGTTTTTAAAACTATTTCAACCAAAAGAATTAAGTATTTTTACCCTTCATTAGAAGGGTAGCTCACACTCAAGTAAGAATAAAAATGAAACCTTTATTTACAGTTCATCAATATTTAAACCACACTGATTTATTGTTACAATTCTCCATATTAACTATAAGAGAAGAGTTTAAACAAGACTAATTCTTCACAGCACTTTACATTTAAACTAAACTGAACACACACTTCTGATTATCATCTTTTTCCTTTCAGGTGATTTCAACATGAGGTCCCCAACTGCATGTTTTACTTGATCCTACAGCAAACTCACAGAGCTCAACTTGGGATACATTTTTTGCATTTATTCCCTTACTTCTGTATCTCCAGCCATAATGATGCAAACACTGGGGTTTTTCTGAGGGTTTCCTACTATTTACACTTCATTTAGTTTTCCTGCTGTTTGATTAATAAGGTTCCCCCACCTCAAATAAGGATCTACATAAACATGTTTGACTATTTGCAGAAGTGTAATACATTTTAAATATGAGAACATTATTTATTACATGCCCTTGAAGAACAGTACAGGATTTAAAGATTGCCAACTATTACGGAAAAGAAGGCTCACATACTTGGACTGCATTTTTTGAGTAGAGTTTCCTTCTTATCGCCTGTTGACTTTTCCATATTTGCAGAATCTGGGAAAATGTGTGGGTGTTCTTTTGGCTCCACTGTGCCCTTCTCTTCACTTTTTAAAGAAAGTGATACCATCACTGCAGTATTATCGTCCTGTAGAGTTGCTTCTGAAAGACAGAATTTCTTGATTTCACAGCTCGTTTTACAATTCTGTTGCACAGGAACTGCAGTGCATCATGATGCTATCTCTCTGAACTTCTCAGTTCTATGCAGAAACTTACCAGAAGGATAAAGGGAACAATTCACATTAGTTCTGCAGTTTTTTTCCCGGGTGTTCTGATGGAGTTGATTCAGCGAGCTAGAAACTAAGTCTTCTGCAGTCTGAGCATTTTTTCCATCTACCATACAATTTAAAGTTATACTTTTTGTACTTTCTGGAAGTTCAGATAGTTTGCAGTCACTCTTTAACAAAGTGTCATTTTTCTGAACAGTTTTTCTCTTCTTTTTGGAAAGAGCACTACACTGTTCATTTGATTCTCTCCTTGAATAGCCTGCTTTACATATCACTTCAGGAGAACTTGATGATTTCTGTTGAACTCCAAGAAGAAAGTGGCTTCCTTGTATTTCACTTTTATTCAAGTCAGAAGATGAAAAAAAGTCTTCATATAAACCCTCCTCAGAATGTGAAATCTTGTTACGTGTAGTCATTGCTTCCAGGAATTCATTTTCAGACCCCGACTTACATAATACTGAGGTAGTCAGTTTTGTACTAGATCTTTTTCTTTTTGATTTCCCCTTTGATTTAGGTCCAACAGCACAACCCCTTAGGTTAACAGGAACACTCACACCAACTGAACACATATTAAAATCTTTGCTGCTCACTAATAAATCCGAGTGACTGTCTTTGGTACCTGCAGCAGCCTCTAACTGGACTATTCTTTGTGAAGGAGCAGAATAACTCAAGTCTCTTTCTTGGAGAAATGAACTGTTGGTCACAATTGATGCAGAAGTCAGATTATCATCATAATTCTGTTTCTTGTTAGGAGATGTTTCAGATTCTCCCTTTTCTGAAAGGTCACCCCCCAATGAGTGTTGTAATATCAGTTTTTTGTTTAACTGTTTTCTATTACATTGCTTTGGAGTTAAGTTCTCTCGATCATTGTTGGAGAATGAAGAATCCTCCAATGCAGGTGTAGAAACATAAATATCACTTTGAGCCACATGAATGCATTCTAGTGACTCCATCTTCTGTTTCTTTAATTTACAATTTCCCCAAAGGTCATCAAAACTTGAGTTTAAAGAATCACTGATTTGCTCTTCTGTAAGACATTAAGAACAGCAGCATAAATATTTTAACAAAGTGGGAACAGTACAGAGTTAAACTGGTAAAGCATGTGAGAAATTACTAAATAACTGGACAAGGGTTTAGTCACAACCAAATATTCAAAATTATATAGCCAAATCTTTGGTAGTTTTCAAAGAATTTACAAACAAAAGTTTTAGAATAGTTATATTCAAAGTCTGCCCCTCAAAAGAGAACTTTCTTGCCTTTTTATTTGTACTCCCTTTTACTGTCTTTTTATCAAATCTAAGAATTACTATTATGAAATCTACTTCAGTTTAGCAAGCACCTTAAACAGGGAAACCAACATGCTCAGGACCTATTTTATGTTGGTGTAGCTAGTTCAAGTGATGGCAAAAATTAAAAAAAAAAAAAATGAATGACATTGTGTTATTGCAGAGCTAGCACCATTGTATCTTTTCCCTATTTATTTTTTAAATACAGATGTCTACTTTAATACTTATGTCCATAATGTCTGAGGGTGCATTTTGCATTATGGTAAATTTGTAAGCAACAGTCATTTAGTTGTATTATAGAAGCTGCTTAACTAAAATATCAAAACAACTGATGAAAACTGAAACATTTTATTGTGAAAAAAATCAAATGAAATGTTTATTTGGAATATTACTCTTAGATATGTATGGTACAACTGTTGTTCTGATGTTGAGGTGGGTGAGATGAGGGCCCTCTGACATGCCCAGATACCTGAGGTGGCAACTGAAAGTCAAAAGCCATATTTGTTTAACAGATGTTTCAAACAAAAAGACATATACTAGACTTCAGTTCACTTCCAAAACTAAAATTAATCAATGTTAAAGCACCACACTGAACAGCTTCTTCAAATACAAAACAAACTATCATTTGTTTGCCATTGCTTTATGTGCACCTGGAGCTTCCTTCAGGAATCATTACATCACCAATGGGATACATATTAATCATGAGCAGGGATCACGATTCTCTTTGATAAAAAAAATCCTGAATTTTCTAATTTAAAAAAAGTAACCCAAAACCCACATTTTCCCATGATTATAATGAAATGCAATTCATATGGGATTTTTTTTTTTTCTTTTTAAATCGGAGAAAATCAGGATCCCTGGTCACAAAGAAAAGGAAAGGTTAGGCGTAATGAAGAAAAAAATGCAGCTCACTGCTGAAACACTGATGCCTTTTTTTATTATGTTATAAACAAATCTCACTAGTACTTTAATTAAGAAATATTCAAATGAGTTAGGAGTAGAATAAATGATAATATACATTCTTGGCCTGGGAGTGGCTATTCTTAAAACGATAATAATAGTTTATTTTAAACAGAAACCATCGTTCTTCCCAAGCAGGGACTGTTATGTGCATACTGAAAGGAAAGTTATGGAAAGACAACATGAACCATGTATTCCCAGGGGTAGATCCACTTTTCCTTTCTTACACTAATAGGAAATTTTGCTCCTTAATAGAATGTCTACATATCAGTAAAAGATACAATATTTGCACATCTGATATAGTGTACTGTTCCTGGCAGTAGGATAAGTATACCACTAAAATGCATGCCCCTTAAGACAATTCCTAGAGTTGTCAAATTCCTATTTTTCTATCCTAGTCAAGAGCTGTTTTGTTCTTACATATAACATAGAAAGCATAAAGCCCTTAGTACTAGGGGTGTGCAAAACAGACTGTATTCGATTTGGATTTGATCAGCCACGGGCGGACCCCGGGTGCCCCCCTGACCCAGGAGACATCACTCACCAAGCCAGTGAGGCTTGGGGGGGAGGGGGCGGGCCTGCGCACTCCCCAGCAGACCTGGAAGTGGACCGGAAGTGCTTCTGGTCCACTTCCAGGTCTGCTGCCAAGCGTTTCTTATATTTTACATTCTTTTCAGATTAAGAAAAAGTAGTAACTTCAATCGTTAAATGTTGTTTACTTTTGCAAATTATAGTAAAATATAAAGGAGGTTTCATATTAACCCAGGGTGCATCTACACGTTCAATCAGGGCAAAGAAATAAACTCTGGCACAGTTTGCGCCAGAGTTTATTTCTCCCAGGAGCAGCATTTACACATGCACCTGGATCCGCACCATGTTGAGCCAGGGGGGAGCAGCCCTGGGCTCTGGGTGGCAGCGGCAGATGGTGGAGGGGCTGGGTGGGGCATGAGGGTGCTGCTACAGTGTGGGGTTAGGCAGCAGATAGTTCCCCGCATTGTAGCACTCTCATGCCCCAGTCTGCCCTCGTCACTGTCTACACGTGTGTTGCAGCAATGTAAATTACTCTGCCACAGGATAGTATTTATCCTGGACAGTACTATCCTACAGCAGAGCTAAATAACTCAGTATCCCCTAATTCCAGCACAAGTTAGACAGTGATGCTTTACTTCAGACCTAAATAGCCAACTCTGCAGTAAAGAGCACGTGAAGAAACGCTCACTGAGTACATCTAGATTCTGCTGTTGGTTAGATAAAATATATATATATTTAACAGAATTGAAATAAAAGTTGCATTATTTACCTGGTGACAATGTATCTGCTGAACTGGTTAAACCCAGGAATGGTCCATTTTCAGGCCATTTTGAATTAAATGTAGACACGGGAGTCATTTGTGAAGCTCAAATATAATAGATTATTCATACATTAGTTAAAGCAAATCTTAAAACAAAATATTTAATAGCATAAAAATACTATTTTTTTCCAAAATTGTTCATTTAGAAAAAACAAAACAAAACTTGTTGACTAATTAGAAACATACAGAAATATTCCTTCAGATCTCACTTCCACAACTGTAATTATACTTAAAATCTCCATTACATACTCTGCAACTCCTATCCTGATTTGGTTTAGACAGTTGAACTCTAAATATTTCTGAACTCAACAAGTTAAAGTGGATACTTTTCTAAGCTAAAAAGTATTTTAATAAGAATGTGTCAAACTTTGATATTACATTTAACTATGCATCAATACCTTGCCATAGTCAGAAATTCTATCATTAAAAGTGAAGGTGCTATTGCAGGGTGAGTAATATTTACAACTTAAATACTTATTTTAAATAAGCTGCGATTCAAGAAATTAGATTTTACCTATCTACATCACTAGCTATATCACTTTTATAGTTTTAAAATTTCCGGAGTGATTATTGTCCTTCAGTATGGGACAACACAAAATCAAGCACAAAACTTATAAGCAAATAGATCTATGATTTATCTGTAGTCAATACCACTTTCTGATATGCTGAATTTCCTTAAGTCAAGGTATCTGAAATGCTAAAGTCTGCTTATACTTCCTCAGGGTTTGCAGTTTGGAGTCAGCCAGACTGAGTTACTTAGGGGCTTTACAAAAATCTCACCTTAATTACCTGAATATTGGCATTTGGAACTAAATCTTAGCCCCCCCCTGTTTTTGAAAGTTTTGACATGGGTATATGAAAAAGTTGATAACCTGGGGAAAATACTAAAAGTCTAAATAAATAACATTTTATTATTAACAGTGAAGCAACTTTCATTTCAAATGAAGCACTATTCTGCAGCCAACAAACAGGGTTCATGAAAATAAAATGTAACCCCCAGGCTGCAAACACTTGTGCATCTACTTAACTTTAAGAACTTGAACTGTCCAAAATTTCCTCAGCAGGTTATTTATGTAAATATATGTAACTGCTGAAGTGTTCACAGGACTGGTGCCTTAAATGTTAGTTATTTTGATTATTATTATTTTTAACTTCAAATGAAGATCTCTAGTAGTGACTACTAGATCGCTAGTAGTGACACTTGCATTTTAATTCCTTGTAAAATCATGTTTGTATGGTAAAATTTTAATATAAAATTTGCAATAGCATATGTTTTCAAATTTGTTTTACCCAAATTCAACCTGATTTAAACTTGCATTTTTTCTCTCGGGGGTGGAGGGCCAACACACAAATTATTTAATCAGTTATTTAAATGGCTCAACCCTGTACTAGTCTATAAGGAGTAAATTAACAATATTACATTGCTTATGATTATGTGTACCTAATTATTTTAATAGGATTTGACAGTTTATGAAAATGATAAAAGCCTCAAAAATTTATTCAATTTCTGAAAATTCCCCATTGAATTACTTTTTACTTGAACATAAGAGGGCCCTGAAGGCATTAAAAAAATAAAATAAATAAATAAAAATAAATAAATATTTAAAAAGTTTTTCCCCCTAACAAAACTACCAAAATCAATATTCAAAGTACTTTATATCTTTGCATGTTTTTGGTGCAAAAATGTTAACAGTCCCCCCGCCCCAAGAAACAGTTCAGACAGGAAACCTGAAAAGAGAAGGAAAATAACGACTTCAAACTCACAAAATGGTTAATCAGCATAATTCCAATATATGTACCAACTAAACCTTTGCAGTTTATTCTATCCAACCTGTTATACCATGACATGCGTCAGAAAGTACCTGACATAAGTATTTTATACGGAAACATTAGATTAACAACACTGGCGAGTTTTGGCAGGCTGTCAAGGACCCCAAGGGTAGCCATGCCACTTGACAGGTGCCCCACCTCCTGGTTGCCATTTCAGGACCAGAAATCCCACCTCCTAATCCCTGACCTTTGCCACCAGAAGTCCCTCCCCTTGTCCCCAGGAAGTATTCCTTTCAGCAAGGCGGCTTGCCATCTCATAACCAGAAAATACCAAGTTATATTCTAAACATCAACTATCTACAACTTCCATTAATTGGATTTAAAAAAATACTTCTGTCCTGATTTACATGCATTTGTGTAGTGTATATAGAGGTGACTGCACAATAACTTAAAATGAAGTCTTACTCTTGTATATTGTGGTGCGTGTATGTGTGTGGGGTGGGGGAGCATGCGGATGTATGTGTAGATATGTGGGGAGTGGATGGGTATGAGGTTTGTAGGCGGATAAGAGTTGGGGGGAGGTTGTGATATGTGTGAAGGGGAGGTTTTGCCCACCACCCTGCTACAGCAGGCAGAGCCCCCGCCAGCACTCCTCCAAATCTGAGCTCCACATTCCAGCTGCTCCTGGCCCCGGGGCACCGGTGTGGGCCCCGTGCTCCTGCTCGCCGCCACCTCCCCTTTCCATCTGCCATGCTGTCCTTCGCCTGTTGCTTCCCCATCTGCCCCTCTGCTTGCTGCTCTGGCACCATGTCCCAGCTACGACCACAGGACACAGCAGGAGCCAGCCCGGCCCGACCAACACATGGAGCCAGCTAAGAATTGCGAGGGCCAGGCCAGCTCCTGCCGAGTCCTGCAGCCTGGCGCTGCAGCTGGGAAC